TCAACCTCAATCCCTTTATCCGAAATCCTATGACCAAGCACGATGCCCTCTTGCACCATAAAGTGGTATTTTTCCAAATTTAAAACCAAGTTTGCCTTGCTGCACCTGTTTAACACTCGATGAAGGTTGGTTAGACACGCATCAAAGGAGGGTCCATGGACCGAAAAATCGTCCATGAACACCTCCATGATATCTTCAATCACATCAGAAAAAATAGCCATCATGCATCTTTGAAATGTAGCCGGTGCATTGCATAATCCGAATGGCATGCGTCTATATGCAAATGTACCGTAGGGGCACGTGAATGTTGTCTTTTCTTGATCGCTAGGATGAATTGGAATTTGGAAGAATCCAGAATAGCCATTGAGAAAGCAAAAATATGAATGCAATGCAAGTCTTTCTAACATTTGATCAATGAATGGTAAAGGGAAGTGGTCTTTACGGGTGTTTTTCTTTAGCTTGCGATAGTCAATGCACATCCTCCATCCCGTAATTGTCCTTGTTGGTATGAGTTCATTGTTCTCATTAGGAACGACCGTGATACCTCCCTTTTTGGGCACGACTTGTACCGGGCTAACCCACGCACTATCGAAAATCGGGTAGATAATCCCTGCATCTAGCAATTTCAAGACTTCCTTTTTGACAACCTCTTTCATGATAGGGTTTAGCCTACGTTGATGTTCCACGGATGACTTAGCTTCATCTTCTAAGTGAATGCGGTGCATGCATAGTGAAGGACTAAGACCCTTGATATCCTCTAACGTATACCCTAGGACTCTTCTATATTGCTTGAGCAATGTTGTCAATTTCTCGAGTTGAGTTTCGGTTAATGCATCATTGACAATGATTGGGTATGTAGAGTTAGAGCCAAGATATATGTACCTAAGCCCTTGTGGTAAGGGCTTTAACTCCAACTTCGGGGCTTGTTCAGGGTCCCAATCGGTAGAAGACGTCTTCCTTGGTTCTCGGGGTATGTCATTGAAGGCACAAATGGTCAAGTCCGAGTCACCGCAACTTTGTTCTTCATCAGAATTTTTCGGGCTATAGTTGGAAAAATTGGGCGGATAGCCTGAATTCTCTGAGCAAAGTTGTGTTTTGCTCAGGGAAAATGAGCTGATGGCCCGAAAAATCGAGCTGGGCGCCCGTAAAGTTTGTTCCTCATTTTCTGGCTCCTTTCCTTCGTCTAATGCTCGTTTGATCACCTCAATCTCTTCCCAATTGCTGTATAAGCTTTCTCCCGCGGCCATAAGTGATATCTCTAGGGGGTCAACTTCGCGGAATTCTTCCATTACCTCTCCGGCCATTGCTTCCAAAATATCAACAAAACAAATTGAATCATCGGTGGAGGGTTGCTTCAAATTTTGATCGAGGGTGAACTCTACGGTCTCATCCCCAATCTTCATGGTTAATCTCCCCGCTCGGACATGCACCACCGCATCCGCGGTACTCAAGAATGGTCGGCCTAAAATAATCGGAACCTTGGAATCTTCATCCATGTCAAGCACAACGAAATCAACCGGCACATAGAACCCACCAATCTTCAAAGGTACATCCTCTAGTATTCCCGCTGGATACTTGACCGATCGATCCGCTAATTGCAACGCCATTCTTGTAGGTTTTAGCTCACCAATATTCAACTTCTTGTAGATTGACAAGGGCATTAAACTCACGCTTGCTCCAAGATCGCATAAGGCTCGATCTATCTCAATATTTCCCAACTTGCAAGGGATAGAGAAACTTCCCGGATCAGCCATCTTCGGGGGAAGTTCATGCTTCGTGATTGCGGCACTAATCTCGGTACTAAGAGCTATTGTTTCTTTCTCCACAACCCTTTTCTTCGTCAAAATATCTTTCAAAAACTTTGCGTAGGAGGGCATTTGGAGAATTGCCTCGTGAAAGGGCATTGTAATCTCCATCTTCTTTAACATCTCCGCAAACTTCCCGAATTGACTTTCCTCATTGAATTTCTTTAAACGAGAAGGAAAAGGGATTGGAGGTACCTTAGGTGGCGGTGGAATGTAGACGGGTTCTTTCTCTTGTTCGGCCACCTTAGGAGTGCTCTCCTCTATCGCTTTGCCTTTCTCCTCCCTTGTTAGCCGTGGTGTTGGTCCCCTTTCGGCCATAGGAGGGGTGATTTCGGGAAGTTGCTTTCCACTCCTTAGCTCCACCGCATTAATGTGCTCCCGAGGATTTGTTTCGTTCTTTCCCGGGAGAGTTCCTTGTTGCCTTGATGAAGAGGATGAGGCAAGTTGTGCCACTTGATTATCCAAGATCTTCAAATGAGCGTGTACTCCATCCATTTGCTTCTTGAATGCAACTTGTTCAGCCTCAATGTTCCCAATGGAAATACCTTGTGATTTTTGGCCTTGAAGAATTTGCATGAGCATATCTTTAATTTCAGGATCTTGCTCCTTGGATTGTGATTGTTGCATTCTGAAGTTTGAAGTTCCTTGATAACCTTGATTGTCTTGGGATTGTTGCTGGAACTTAGATTGGAATCCTGGGGGTCCTTGGTTGTTTCGTTGAAACCCCGACTGAGTGTTCAATGCATTCGTCGGATTCTTGTAAGAGAAGTTCGGGTGGTTTCTTAGCCCGGGATGATAGAGGTTCGAAGGATGATTGAATTGGTTCGGACCAACATAGTTTGCTTCCTCCACTCCTTGATCAACTAAGTACATTCCCGGTTGGATTTGTGTTGAACCATGCTCCTCTATCGCAGCCACTTGCTTATTGCCGGCTAGATGGAGTTTTATCTCCTCAAGTTGTGACAAGACTGCTTTGAGTGCAATGTTTTCTCCGATATCTCCCTTTGTTGAGCTCTTTCTACTAAACTCATTAGATGTGTGACTGCGTCCCTTAGCTAGTTTCGCAATCGTTGCTTCCAACTCTTGAAAGGGGATATCATAGATGTCACCCCCACACGCCGCATCAATCCATGATCTCGTGTCATCTTTCAACCCATGGATAAAGATGGATAGTAGATAATCTCGCTCCATACCGTGGTGAGGGCACATCCTTTGGTACTCTTTAAAGCGTTCCCATGCATCATGTAGATTCTCTCCATCTTCTTGTACAAAAGAATTTATCCGGTTCCTCGCATGTTGAGTCTTGGTGGGCGAGTAATATTGCATTAGGAATTGTTCCTCCATCTCATCCCATGACGAGATGGAGTTTGGCTCGAGGGTGTAGAGCCAATCTCGTGCTCTCTCCATTAAGGAATAGGGAAAGGCTTCAAGGAGCACATCATCCGTAGTTATGCCCGGCCCTTTCTTTATCGCCTTACAATTCATCTTGAAGTTTGTAAGGTGAGCGTTTGGATCCTCATTGGGCCTACCCCGAAAACTCATATTGTTGAGCATTTGGATGCATTGTGGTTGGAGTTCGAAGTCCTCCAACGGGTCCTTGTTAATGCAAGAGAGTAGTTGTGTGTGCTTCGGTTGTGTGTATGTTCGAAGCGTCCTAGGGGCCTCTTGGGGCTGACCCCTTTGAGCATTGTCTCCTCTCAAGGCTTCTTCGGCCATTCTTCTTATCCTTTGTTGCTTTTGGTTGAAACGTGCGGTCCTTTCGATTTCTGAGTCGAAGATAAGTCTATCTTTGTCGGTTGTGCTTCTAGTCATACACCAAAGGACCTACGCACAAAGGAAGCAAGGACGGGCCAAGAGCAGTGAAAAGAAAGCAATAACGCAAAGTGATCCCAAGTAGTAACCCACGAAATGGTGACCTAGCAAAAATCTAGATTAACACCGAAATTGCCTAGTCCCCGGCAGCGGCGCCAAAAACTTGATGCGCACGCACCGAGTTCTAAATTTGTAACCCGATTCGTACCACTAACCGCAAGTATACGGTAGTTGTAGTACCGGAGTCGATCACGAGGATTAGGTGATATTAATCTATCTTAAGGCTAGGTTGATGATGGAAATGGGGTTAAAATGATGATGGTGATGATGCGAACTAGACTAAATGTAAGCAAATAGGAATAAACGGTTAACAATCAATGATTCAAGCGTTGTAGGTTCGGGATCCCTTTTTGATTTGCATGGATAGTTAAAGATGATATGATGTCTATGATGTTCATTTCCAAATGAGGGATTTCAAGCATCTTAAATAGAGTTTGTCTCTCCCAAGCTTAAACTCACTACCCAAAGAATCAATTTACCCATCTCCCAATGATCTAAATGACCCTTAGATGCATGAATGCTCTCTATCACAAACCCTAGGTAAGCAAAACCATTTCCCAATGTGAATGTCTCACCTATTTGGTGTTTAGTTCCAAACAACACTCCCATATCCCTATGATCAATGTGTTCTAATATCATACCAACTAAGATTTCGCCAAAGTTGGAAGCATGAAGTACAAAACACCAAACCCATGGAAAAGAACTCATAAACACCATAGTTAAGCATATGAATCCATTACAAAAGTGGGGATCCCTCACCCACAACTAAGTTTCTACTCCATGTTCAAAAGAGGGAAACAAAAAGAGACAAAGAAAAGCATGGTAGAGAAGAGAAAGAAAGGCTTAGTGTGGTCTTCAATGGTGATGATCTCCTCTTCTCCTTCTTCTCCAAGTCTTCCCTTGCTTCCCAAGTTCTCCTCTCCTCTTTGTCTCTTTTTGTTTCCCTCTTTTGAACATGGAGTAGAAACTTAGTTGTGGGTGAGGGATCCCCACTTTTGTAATGGATTCATATGCTTAACTATGGTGTTTATGAGTTCTTTTCCATGGGTTTGGTGTTTTGTACTTCATGCTTCCAACTTTGGCGAAATCTTAGTTGGTATGATATTAGAACACATTGATCATAGGGATATGGGAGTGTTGTTTGGAACTAAACACCAAATAGGTGAGACATTCACATTGGGAAATGGTTTTGCTTACCTAGGGTTTGTGATAGAGAGCATTCATGCATCTAAGGGTCATTTAGATCATTGGGAGATGGGTAAATTGATTCTTTGGGTAGTGAGTTTAAGCTTGGGAGAGACAAACTCTATTTAAGATGCTTGAAATCCCTCATTTGGAAATGAACATCATAGACATCATATCATCTTTAACTATCCATGCAAATCAAAAGGGGATCCCGAACCTACAACGCTTGAATCATTGATTGTTAACCGTTTATTCCTATTTGCTTACATTTAGTTTAGTTCACATCATCACCATCATCATTTTAACCCCCTCACGTTATAGATGGATGACGTTGAGTTTGAAGGCTGATCATTCAAGACGTATATACCATTCACTAGATAACCATTACCATAGTAAATATCGTCTCGATAAATCATCAAACTCGAGTTCTCAATAACAAATCGAAAACCATCCAAATCCAGACATGAAATAGAAATAATGTTTCTGCTAATCGCAGTCACATAGTAACAATTACTAAGTTCTAAAACAAGTTGATGTCGCAAATCTAGGTGTATAAATTTGATCAAGTAATAATATCATAGACTCAACAAAGTCTGCAAGTGTATGGATCGTGTGTAGCAACTAGGGTCAAACACAGGGACAAGTAAACAACTGAATCAGATTCCAATCCAAATCTAGATCTAGAGAAAATATGAGAATGATGAGAATGTATCAAAGGCAAATAATAAAAACAAACGATAAACTATCAATGGCAAAACATTGCAGACTTCGGGATTGCTTTACATGCAAGGATCTTTCAAAAGATACAAACCCAGTGGTTTATCTATCCGATTCAGGGAATTCAAGCTCTAAAGTAGAGATTAATCCTCTCGAGTCTAATCTCACTATCCAGACTTTATCCTACTAATCTCTCGATTCAATAGTTTAAAACCCTGGATGCATGAACGAACGCTATCATAATCCCTAGGCAAATATTCATCTCTCAATGCAATACATGTTCTATTTATTGAGTTATTTCCAGGTTAGAATCCCATATGTCTATGCGAATTAAAACCCTAAGTTCATTCAATCAAGTGGCCAACAAGATCAAAACGCATTAAACGCAACTCAATAAACCGAATAGAATAAATAAAACTACATAGTCTGGAATTAGAAACCAAAGATCCCTAAATAGCAAATCCCTAACCTTCAGCAAAAGAACTACTCGTTAAACATCGAGACGCCAGAGTTCATATCAATAATACAAAACATCGTAAAATAGAAGAAATGAAGAATGCTTAGTCGATTTCTCGGCTTCGTAATCTCCGTCTTCTACTCCGATCTCTTGCCTCTTGATAATCTCCCTCTTTTTGTGTGCTCTAGGGTGTGTTTTCTGTGAAAAGTATGAATGTTTTCGACCTTGGGGGCTAACCCTAGTTAACCCTTCTTTTTATGGGCCAAAAAAGTTATGAGCAAATTTGTAAAGTCCGCCAAAATTATTAAGTGACACGATCATGTCACTTTCAGTCACACGATCATGTCACTTTCAGTCACACGATTGGGTCACTTACCAATCGTGTGACTGAAAGTGACATGATCGTGTGACTGAAAGTGACATGATCGTGTCACTTAATAATTTTGGCGGACTTTACAAATTTGCTCATAACTTTCTGATCTGACATCGGATTTGGGTGATCTTGGCGTCTATGCGTAGATATCAAAGAGAGCTTTCAAATGATGTAAAGAATGTATGATTTGGACCTGTAGAGTGAAAGTATTTGAACTTACAATATCTGACGTTTTTTGAGCTTCACGTTTTTTATGGAGACATTCCAAATGTTCAGGGTTCGTCCTTGATGTTCTGTATTCAAGTTTTCCACTCCTTTTGCTCTCTTTATGTGTGGATTCCTGTTTAAACACCAAAGAATACAACCAACCAATATCGAAGCCAAATGTGTCCTAGAATGTCTACAAATATATAAAATCGAGTGAAATACGCTAGACATCCTATATCAAAACATCACCCGAAATACGTGTTATCAAATTCCTCCAGACTTAAACCTTTGCTCG